ACTCTTTTTAGAAAATAAAAAATAAAAAAAATCTTTCATATACTCTTTGTTAAGGTTTTATTATTTGATATGTTTCAATTTATTTGATTTAACAATTAAAAATTAAAAAAAATATGTGGGAGGCAAAAAAAAATTGTATACATAGCACCAACCTATTTATTTTGCACACTCAAATATCAAATCTATCGTAATTATTCTGACCTTGTCCACTAATTTATAGAGAACTTTAACGAAAAGTTTCCGGTACTGTTCAATTTAACGAAAAATCATATTTTTATACTAAAAAGTCAATTGTGGTACTATACACTTTCCCCTTTATTTGGTTTTTATCGTTAAAATTCAAAGTTTTCAAATCATTTTCATTAGTTTTTTTTTTTTTTTTAAATTATATCGTTTTCGTCTAGCTTGGGTAGATCACGAGTTTAGATCCCTTGGTTATGTAACTAATGTTTATTTATTTATATTTGAAATGAGCATATATTATTGACAATTACACGTTTCACTATATCAATTTTAGTACTATTGTATAATGGTGTTACTCTTTACTTGTAAATAAGAGAACTTTTATTTGTACTCTCGTGAATGACAATTTCAATATTAATTTATTATGGATGACTCGTCATATAGCTTAACCCATATCCCAAACCTTTAAGTGTAATAGTTAAGCCAAATCGTAAAGCATCTAAAGCAAAGTGATAGGATTTTTATCACCTGCACAAATAGGATTAAAACACCTAAAAATACTTGCAAGAGAACAAGGTAATAGTTGTATAGATAGCTCTAAGGTCGTTCTCTACAATGATTGATATGAATAACTTATGATTAAAACAAATTCTTAACTAATTATTTAATACAAAATATAGAAAGTTGAGATCATGAATTAAAACAAGGGAGCTTTCATGAAAAAGGCTTATGCTAAGATCCTGCACGAATAGGCTAAGTTCCTGCTGAAGGGTACATTTGATTGGGGCTAAGATCCTGCACGAATAGCTTTCAATTCATAAACTTAAATTGTGGAGCTAAAAATAATAAAAAAGAATATGAAGGCGACATGTGAATTTTTGAGGAAAAAAGACAAGACTACCCTCGAGGCACATCAAGATTTCTACACGCAAGCAGTGGGCAATCATCCTCAATCAAGTCAAAAGTGCCCAAAATAGGTATTTACTCAAAATGGCATAAAGGACTAAAATAACTAAAGAAACACACGAAAATGGCATAAAGGACTAAAATAACTAAAGAAACACAACGTAAATGCACGAGAACAAGCCAATTAAGTCGCATAAATATGCTCCTATCACTTTCCAAGATGAAGACAAGGAAAATTAAATTTTTCTTACCTCGATGCGTTGCAGAGAAGATGAAGAAAGCAAAGAAAGAAGGTCATTTGCATGGGCAAGTGTAGAAGATTGCTAGGGGAGGGGGAACAAATATCCTCTAGCTTTCACTTTCTTGTAGGGTAGAATAAATTGCTCTCTAAAGTTGATTTAATCATCTACTTAAGGTAGACTTAAATAGAATTTAGAAGTAATTTATTCCATTTCCTAGATCAAAATAGGAAACAATCATATGTTTCCTAAAGCAAGAAGATCTCTACACCTGCTGCCCTTTCCTGCTAACAGCCCAACAGGCGTGGGGGCATTTGTGGAGGCAAAAATAATGAAGAAAAATATGGAGGCAACAAGTGGATTTTTGGGTTAAAAATACAAGATTACCCTCGAGGTACACTAGGATTTCTACACGCAAGCAATGAGCAATTATCCCTCAATCAAGTGAAAAGTGCCCAAAATAGGTATTTATTCAACACCTATTTCACCCTTCCAAATTCAATCTTCTCTACAAGGTAACCCCCAAATCATTTCCTTCTAATTATATTAATTAGCTAATTAATTGATTAATTACCCAATTAATTTATTAATTAGCTAATAGATCATGAATCTCTCCCAAAAAACCATCCAAGTGGCTGGTCCCCATCCTCCCAAAGGCGCTGGCTACACCTTTATATAAACACCATCATTTTCTCCAAAACCTAATTCCAACTCTCTTACAAAATTCTCTAAATTCTCCAAACACTTTTTCCTCAAAATTCTAACATTGGCATTGGAGTTCTTCAGCCAAAGCTCCCCCATTCATCGCAGGTGCGTGAGGTTCTTGACCTTGAACTAAGGTGTTATTTGTTTTGTAGGTGCAATTTTGTCCAACAAGGAGAAGAAGAAGGAAATTTGCATTCACATAAATCATCTTAGTCCTTTAGTACTATAGTTTAGTTATTCTTTTATTTGTAAGTACAAGATCTTTGATTTAATTCTCGTAGATAAAGAGTTCAAATTGAATTATTATGGCTAGCAATTGTATGACTTAACTCAAATCTCACCTCCTGTAGAGTAAAGAATAATAATTGCATTCCCCTTCATCAGAGAGAATGCACATATCCCACTACATACGAATAACAACACTGAGCTTACCAAATAGTCATTATCCAGCTGACTTTTCAAATGGCCAAGAACTTTGTTTAAGCACTAAGTGACTATGGAATGCAAGTCTCCCTGCCCTAAGCTCATTTAGGACATTACTTACATATCTTAAATCCTACATACTCATTCACAGTATATTATCTCTTTAATATTAAGCCAAAACTCATGAATAAGTAATACTTGCCCTATTATTAATCAATTAATATGAAGTTGTTGCATGAGTTGCTGGAATTTAAGAAGTGGAACGAGGTGCAACTAAAGTCTAAGAATGTCGAAGCACAGAAATGGAAGAAGCCGGAGGAAGGGTGGATTAAGTGCAATTTTGATGGTGCGCGGGATGAACAGGGAGCGGTGGGAGGAGTCGGAATAGTTATTAGGGATGCGGCTGGGGACTTTGTTGCTGCCACAGCATTAAAACTGGATGGGATTGCCTTGGCTATACTGGCTTGGAATTGCAACAGCTCGTGAAGCTGCGCTGTTTGTTCAACAATGGCAGATGCACAAAGTGATATTGGAGGGTGATGCACTGATGGTGATAGCTGCCATTCAGAATAATTTGGATGTTAATCATGGACCTGTTGGAGAACAATTTAGAAACAATAAAATAACAGAAATACAGAACCGAAATACTTATACTTTATTATTCAAAAATACTTGTAATATAGAATGCAATTATGTTATAGTAACAAAAAATTAAAATGATACTAACTTGAATGAATTGAAGGTAGAGGCTAGCGCAAACGCTATATCCTTCGAACAGTATTTCCATCCCACTCGTGTGCTTATGGTTCTACAATGTCTGCTCGACCATAATACAACTACTGAATTCTACAACCCGCACTGGATTATAGAACTCTAGCGAATTGCTTTGTGTGTTTACTCTCTGGAAATTTTGTACGGAAGACAATGAGGAAGAAAAGATGATTTTTGATGGAACTCAGGACTCCAGTTATATAGGCTCTTTCATACCTCTTCAAACACCTTTTTGATGTATCTGAAGCTATACAACTCTTTCCAAAGAGATACATCTCTTTCCAAAGAGTTGTGTCTATTAATCAAAACGTTTTTAATTAATTTAATTAAAAACTTAATTCGAAATTAAAACTAATTGATCAGATTAATTAATATCAATTAATATTAATATTATAGTATAATCATCAAGCCTAATCCACACAATCATAAGGCCCAAGCCTTCAATCCATTTCCAAATGGTCCAAGTTCTAAATACTAAGAAAAAGGAATAAGCCCATATAAAGGCTAGTGAAAAAATACTGTTGACCAATGTGGGATAAGAGGGTCTCAAACTCTTACAGGACCTTTTGGGCATGTATTGACTGATATACGTAGGCTCTTACAACCTTTTCAGCAATGGAATGTCAGTTTTGTGCGAAGAGATGCCAATACAGTGGCTGATCGGCTAGCTTGACATAGTTTAACTTTGGCACGGTCAGTTTCTTGGTTTGAGGAATCTCTCGATGTAATTTCTGATTTTATTTTGGAGGATAATTTGAATGCTTAATTTTGTTGGTGCGGGACACTCTTTTCCCTTTCATTCGAGTTATTTCCCGGGAAGGTTTTTATTGAGGTCCATTGTTAGCACATTTTTCCGTTGTTTGTATGTTATTCTCTTATGAAATGAATATCGTACTTGATTTAAAAAAAAAATAATATTATAAAACTGGCTTTTAATGCACAATTCCAACAAGTTTACTATTGAATGATGACACTAAATACTTGAAATTGGCAACAAATTTTGAAATAATAATAATTTTTTGTGAAATTCAATAGGATCTCACTCTAATTTTGAAGTTAAACCTCAATTACATAATGCTTTAATAATTAACCTTAAAATCATATATAACTAAAATATTTTTTAATGCACTGAAGAGCGACTGTATCAAATTTAAAATCAAATATGATTTTTTACTCCAATTTTTTTGGCACGTAGGAGATGGCTTTAGATCGAAACGAGTCATTTCACAATCATTTGGTAATAGCCAATCAAAATCAAACAATAAGCTAATGTTGAAATTGCACTGTTGTAGGGGAGCTGAGGCACATCTTTTTGACCAGTCAAAACCAAGAAACTAACTATAATTAACTAGTATATCTTGTTGGATGAGTATATTTAATTTGGCTGTCATGCGCAATGCAGCATCAACAAACATTAAAGCATAATTCTACATTGTAAAAGTTGTTTGTGCAGTGCTTTTGTTGCAAGCACTTCTGCTCATTCGTTTTTCCCAGAAACACTCTTTAGAAGTACATCAAAACTTTTGTGAAAACTATAAGCACTTTTAAATTTTCACCAAAAATAATGGCGTCGCCGCTTATATGAAAGTATACATGCATTTGAGTCACTCAACATTCAACCATAGTAGCATGTTGAATGTGCACTGCTGCTTTTGCAAATAGCTGAGATGGTTTTCCATCCATACAGAAATTGCCTTTTATGTGAGAAAATATCAGTATTTGGTAGAAATCCCACCACATCCGATCAACTAAATTAAATTGAAGAACTGTAAATATAGGCATCCCAAGTTTTAATATTTGAATCCAGTATGCTTGGTCTGGTTCATTTCATCAGTAACCTCATTCGGATTCTAGGATACAACAAATGATGTACATTATGAACCAAGCACCAATTACTTGGCGAGTTTTAATGTTCAAAACGACGGAGTGGACTCTGAAGCTGTTACGCTATACACTAGACATTTAGCGGAGGGGATGTCATCATCGTTTTGTATTATTTCTTCTACAGCATGCGCGAGCAAACCAGATTCCTTCTGAGGCTGGTTATTTCTTTTTTATTGTAACTTACTCTTCGAAACTTAGATTTCTCAAAACTGAGGCTGATGAGGCCTACGTAGCTAGATAAAATCTGGCTGGCCTGTGGAAGTCAAGCAACGATGCCACATTCGGCTGTTAGGATCCACCAGCCTGGGATGAGAAATGACCTCTGGAATTGGAAGGTATACATAATGAGTGTTGCAAGTGCCAACTGTGATGCCACTGTATCCAGCAAATGCACCATGAACCTGTCGTAGCCATGCACGCAGATCGAATGTACTTCAGAAGAGATAAAATAGGAAAGAAATGGTCTTGTGCAAATATATTTAAGTGTGTATGGGCATGCAGATGTGGGTGTTTGAGAAAGAGAGAGAGAGAAAGAGAGGAAGAGACTCACAGCATTTTGTCCTAGCACAGCGCAGAGAATTCCATCTGATGCATTTGCACGACATGCACGGATCATGTATGTGGGGTCTATATACTTCACGTCAACGGGAACACCAGCCTCTTTAAAATGCCTTTTTGTCTGGCAGAAGAATAGATGGTTATAGTCACCAAAAATGTTTCATCAAATTATGAACAAAACAATTAAATCAGTGGAATTGGATAATCAGAATATCAGATATTTCTTATGAAAAGAAACAAAAATGGTCAATTATTATTACTCTGCTCCGAGTCTTGATCCTACTTTTGTCCGTCAAGTAGTCCTAATAAGACTCATTGCCTACTGGAAGCAATCATGATATATACGCATATAGTTTTTTCATATTTGAGGGAAAAAAAAAAAAAAAAAAAAAAAACCAATGATAGTATGCTACGAGTCTAAAATTGAGTTCTCAAATGCAATGGAAATCATTATTGCATTAAAACACAATCACCAACCTCTTGCTGAATATGCACGCCAATATCTCCAAATACCATATTTCCAGATGCATCAGTAGCATTGGTTTTCTGTATTAAATTCTGAACGAAAAGAACCATATAGAAGTCAACAATCTCACCATGTAATCAAGAAAAACATCAACCAGATAAAAATCGAAAAAAAATGTAGCTTTTTTCTTAACATAATAAGTTATATATGCAATAACCTACAAGATAAAATAAGACTTGAAATAATGATTCCGACTCACCTGCCCTGCTCCCTCTGCTACGCAGACCACAGCTGATCCCTTTGTTTGAATTAGGTATTTCAGATGGTGCAAAATACCATGAGGGCCATGTATTTGAAAAGGAACCTTGGATGTGCATATATCCCTACCATCAGTGGAGGGTCGAAAATAAATGAAAATAGCATATATCACTAGCACGGAGGCAGTCAAAGTACCTCAGGTATCAAACATATGTCAATTTGTCCACTAGCCAGGGATGCATGCATTGCTATGAACCCACTGCTACGACCCATCAATTTAACAATTCCAACGCCATGGTAAGCACTATGTGCCTATTACAAGATTGAGGAGAAAGATCAGCTTATCATGTAGAACCCTTGCAGAAACATAAACCCACACATGACAGAAAAATATCACATACCTCGATGTATGCTGAATTTATTGCCCGTTGAGCTTCTTCAACAGCCGTATCGAAACCAAAAGTTTTGTCCATCAGCAAAATATCATTGTCTATGGTCTTCGGAACACCAACTACAGCCATTCTTAACCGTCTCTTACGGCACTAAAAGCAAAATAGGAAAAGAAAAAGAAAAAGAAAAAAGAAACAATTAGAACCTACAAAAATTAAGGAAAATGATAAAACCAAGCATTCACAACTTGCAAAGACTATAAGATTGACACAAATGAGACTCCCTATGAAAATACTCCCAGAATATATGTCCAGTACACCATTTCTCAGCCTCTACCAGTATTGGCTAACACATTTTAATAGTAATAAACAGACAGACTATCCCAAACTATAGCATAGTGCACTCATTCCTGCCCGAAAGTTTTCCTTATTATTTTCTTTGGTCATTGTCATGTAAGAGATGGCATTGTACTAAAATCAAAAGAATGATATCTAATGCAAGTCCTAGGAGGGCAATGTTAGGAAATTCATTTTTAATAATGAATAAATACCAGATTCAACATGATATAATGTACCATTAGTACAGATCCTCAAGCTAACCAACCTCATTGTGTATTGCATCGGCTCCAGCATGTGTGCCGTTTCCACCCAAAACAAAAAGCATGTTGATTCCTCTTTCCTGATATCAACACGCAAATACATAGATCATGACAATGAATTATAGGGGAATCATGATGCTTCAATATTACCAACTTCCGAAAAGAAGCCTTTCAAGCAATCACCTCCAAACTGTCCACAATGTCACTAACGCTGGGACCTCCACGTGAAACTCCTAACAAGCTTCCACCAGAAAGATGAACATTTTGAACCACTTTCCTTGATAGCTGAGAATCAAATCCGGTTTCAACATATTAGCCTACAACATAAACGTGTTCTCCAAATAGAGGAAACATATATTTATATTTAAGCATAGAAAGGCTGCAAGATAAGATTGTTGAATTCATATATGACAGCTACTTGCAAGACAAAAACAAGAACTTACTGCCATTTCAGCTAATTCTTTGTCAGAAAATCCGCGGTAACCATAAGGAATCCCCACAATCTGTTTGACACCATATATTTCAAGTGTGATGACAATCTGCAGAACGTATACGATTGATCCATTTGTGAATGTCATAAGAGTTAGTCAAAAGGTCAAACTAATAGTTAACGTCAAGATAAAGTATGAATGGGTCTCTGACTAAATCTGTTCTAAGATTTCAAGAGTCTTTTACTCTTTAACAAGTCTTTTAGTACTGCTATGAATCTTTTGAGGTTCCCTGTAGCTTGTAGATATTTTGGTGAATGACAATTAAGTATCTTTGAAAGCCTTTACGCATTGACTGCTCCATCTATACTTTTCTCCTCTCTCTTCTCCTCACTTCTCTAAAGTTCTTATTACCAAAATTTATACCATCTGTAATCCTAAATCACCTAGTTTGTCGTATACTTCTATATCAGTATGTGAAAATGGAAAACAGTGTTTTATCAGAAGTTTATATTACAGATTCTTCCACATCATGAATTATTAAATACTAACAATACTTCCAAGGCCAGTGCTGATAAAAACAATAAGAAAAACTATAAAATTAAAATTATTTGTGGTGATAATAACCTGTCTGATGACGTCATTAAGACCAGGGCAGAGCCCTCCGCATGTTACAATTGCTGCTTTCACTGCTTCTGGTTTAAAATATATTTTTTCCCGAGGCCCAGCACGATGAACCCTGGAAACTTTCAGTATCATATTCAGTATATATTGAAGTTTTCAAATTAAAAAAACTGGAATCACCTGTGCTAAGCAAGCAAATATATAAGTAGTATATAAGTTGCAATTTTTTAAAGACCTATCACAGCCTAAATGCAGAAAATTTTGAAAAATATGGATGGAAGCATTTACGCTCCATTCTTAATTTACGTAAAGAGTAAAAAAGATGACTATAGTATTAGCCAAAGAAAAGAGAAGTACTACACTAGGTTAACTTAAAGAAACATGGTAATTCGAAAAAGATGAAGACTATTTCTTCAAAATCCTACATATTGAAAAAAGCAACATGAATGAGGAAACCACTAGTCCAATGGCTCACTCACCAAACGTCCTTTTGAGCTTTCACCCTGCAACAGGACTACCAATCCCTGTCAAAATGGCCTTGCAGGGATATAAAGCATTAGAAACATTGACCTAGCAGTCTCCCATTCACAACCAGAACTCACAGAAACTCTCTGTTTTTCATTTCTCATTGGAAAACATCCAAGGCAAAGATATGCCCTCTCTAAAAATCCGTATGGTTAAAAGCATCTTCAATTTATTCACACTCAGCACTTCACATGGGGAAATACACAAACAACAAAAGAAAGTTGAGAGAAATATTTACCATTGCTCCACCCAAGTACAATTAGGATCAATGCATTCAGCACCAGCAGACGTATGCGACGAGTAGTATATAGTCTGTAAATATTGAACAAAAACACACACACACAAAGAGCAGTCTTAGAGATTTTGGCATGGGAGTCATACATACCATTACCATTCAACTGGGTTCAATCCGAGTAACAAAAACCGAAATGAGTAATCTCGTAACCAAGTGAAGGTGCAAATAAATAAGATTCCCACAACTTCTCAAGATTAAGAGTCAACCATTTAGTCATTAACTGAATAGAATGACTAGCACCGAGCGGTACACTATATAGTGCTCCATAGTGATTCAACAAATTCAAATTACAATATAACTTCACAACATTTGAAAGAAATTAGAAAATGGGGATGCTTTGTTTACCTTAAGGAGTACCCGGTCATTGTTATTTATGTACCCGTGCCACTCTTCGTCCGACGGGTACCCACCTGCAAAGTCTTCGATCACCGGAGTCCTGCAACATAATATCAACCAATTTCAGGGCCTCCCAACTAAAATTCAAAAATAAAATCAAACAAAAAAAAGAAAGAAAAAAGTGACCTCATCCTTAAGCAGAAGGTGGAAGGAATGGGAACGGAGTCAGGGAAAACATCAGTGATGTGAGGGATGTTGAACCGCTTCTCGAAATCCCTCTGGAACCTGGATTTCCAGTCGGGATCGCTGAAATCAATCTGCTGCCGGCTCTGGCTCTTGCTCTGGGCGAAGATGCGGTTGCTGTTCTTGGCGACTCCCCCGGAAGTAGTCAGTAGTCTCAGAGACGGCGGAGAGAATCGGTGAGAAGCGCGGTGGTGGACGGCGAGTCCCGACGGGGCGATCGCGTGCGATAGAGTGCCCATGAAACGGAGATGTTGAGGTGCAGTGAAGTTCCGAGTTTGCTTCTTCGATCAATGCGAGTGTTTGGAAGATTTGCAGAGAGACGGAGAGTGAAATAAATTAAAGAGGGAAAATCGAAAGCAACGAGGGAGGGCCGTACGAGCTGACTAATTAGCAGGAAGCAGAGAGGAAGTGGGGCCTTGGTCACCTAACTCCCTCCGCCATCTTCACTTCTCTTTTCAACGTTTGCGAAAAGCCGGCTTTTTTGTTTTCTTTTTTGATATTTTTCTTTTTTCGGATTTACTTGTAACAATAATTTGAACTTCAGGAAGAGTATTGCTACACTTGTCATATTTTTTATATTATATTTGTATCTATTTTTTAATAGTGTTGAAACTATCAATAAGTGTCGGTCTCATCTTTATTAAAATTGAGAAATATGGTACAAATATAGTATGAAAAATGTGGTAAATAGCATTTTTTATTTGGAAACCGAAAAAGATGAAGTCGTAGCTAACTTCAATATTAAAATTTTCCTCTTTTAAAATTATATGCTCGACTTACAATGGGTTTAAGTTTAAGGATCATGCTAAGGAGACTAAATTTGTAGACAAAAATTTGCAAACTAAATGAAATGGAAGTTGATGATTAAATTATTACTTAAATGTTGATTAACGTGTTCATTCCTATTGGTGACACATCATTTAGTTTGCAAATTTTGCTTATAAATTTAGTATCTCTAGCATTACCCTAAAATCAATGACCACTATTTATATTGAAACAAATATTGTGATTTCCCTATTAAAATCAGTGTAAGAAACTGACACACAATTCCAATCCTACTATGATTGCTAAGTATCAAGATTCATTTAAAGTTTCAATCCGAAACTAATTAAAACAACTTTAAAACTCTTTAATAAGACAATTTCATACTAATTTGAAACACAGTGACCGGGTCTAACTCCCATTATCATACTCATATTCTAACATTCTCCAACTTGAGTATGAACAAGTTAGATACACAATCTTCAAATTATAATAGAACCGATTGCTTTATGTCTTATAAAAAGAGTTCTCTATCACATACAAGCTATCCATACATTTCAAAACATAAAACTAAAAATCTCTGCTACTATACATAACACAGAATCGGTTCATGATTACTATTTCCAATTTGTATACGTAACAATGTGAACTTATAGAGCAAACCAACATTATTCGCTACCACTCATTTGGTCAAACTTAACAACAATATTGTTAAGCTTCAGTTAATAACAAATTATGATGGCTTTCACATTACTCAAACTCAGTAAATAATACAATAACAATTCAACCAATTGCTTAATCAAAACACAATTTGATTTATAAGCATAAAAATAAATTATAACTTCACAAGAAGAACCAACTAGCAAAACAAAAACAAAATTGTTTGCTCACAATCATCCATGTCAAACTTAGTGTGAGTGTCACAAGTTCCTTTACACAGGGCACCAAAATTTAAGGGGGCCCCAAAACAAATTTATATTAAATGTAGTAATATAAAATAATATATATATATATATGGGTGTAGACCCACAAGGCTAACATGTCTCTAATCCAACCCATCAATTCCGTACAAATTATATGATTTCACAAAACTAGGATGTCACTTGTTTTCTTAATTTTCACGCCAAAGTCCAAACAGAGTCTATTTTCTCTCAGACACCTCATCCCTTCTTGCTACTTTTGAGTCCTCTGTTCACTGCTTTTTTCTTTTTTGTTCCCACAATTCATTAAACCCTACATCATAATTTCATCTAATTGAATAAAAATTTTCAAATTACGAAGACAATTTAAGTGATCAGAGTGATGCAAACTTCGATTAAAGTAAGTAATTACAAATTTAAGTATATGAAGTTGGAATTTGAAAATTTAGGTATTTCTCATCTATAATGAATTTTTTCTTTTATACTTTTCAAAGCAAAACTGATAGAAATTAATCAAGTAATCATCACAACAAGAGGGAGTAATCACAAAAACTACTAGACGAACGCATTACGGACTATCAAGTTTTATTGTTCATACTTACTAATCTTGTTTGAGATATAAAAGATGACACTTACTAGAAAATATCTATCTGGCTACTTAAAGCATCAAAGAAAAAGAAGGGTTGAACAATTGACTCAGTCTCAAAAATGAGCTATTGATAGGTTCTTTGTTAAAGAAAAAAAACCACAAAGTTAAATAGATGATTTAGTTAATGAACAGTACATTGACAATGAGAAATTAGTTGATGATTTGAGCCATGATAAAATTGATGACAATCTTGAAGAGAATGATAGTTATGAGGATGCTCCTAATGTCTTCACTGGACAACCGAGTGAGTCCATTCCCCTGAACATTTATGATCCTCAAATTTGGGATAGCCTTGATCCTAGATGGATTGATTTGTTAGCAGAAAAAGGTCTTGTAAGAGAGCTATCAATTGAGAAAGGTCCTAAAGATCAGTTTAATAGGCGTTTTAATGCAGCATTTTACACTCGATACTTGTCCAATGGAGAGAAACATGATAGAGATTGGCTAGTGTATTCAAATGATATTGATAAAGTGTTCTATTTTTGTTGCAAATTGTTCAAGAAATGGCCTCTCAAATGTCAATTAGCAAATGAGGGCTACAAAAATTGGACACATTTTAGTGTGAGACTTGAAGAGCATGAAACTAGTTCTGATCACATCTCAAACATGACCACTTGGATTGATTTGCATCTTAGATTGGAAAACCATGAAACAATTGACAAAGTTGTGCAAGACCAGGTCAAGAAAGAAAAAGAGCATTGGAGGGAGTTACTACAAAGGTTGATTTCCATTATGAAATATCTAGCCAAATACACTTTGGCATTTCGTGGAACGAAAGATACGCTTTATGGAGAAAGTAATGGAAATTGTATGGGCCTTTTCAAATGATGGCTAAATCTGATTCACTGATAAAGAAGCATCTTCAATGTTTTCAAAATAATGAGATTCGTTACCATTATCTTAGTTATACCATCCAGAATGAATTGATATTTTTGATATCATGTGAAATCAAAGCTTCAATCATTCTATGAAATAAAAGAAGGTAAATATACTTGATTGTACTCCTGATATTAGCCACCAAGAATAGATGACTTTGATCTTAAGATGTGTGGATGTGAATAGTACTCCAGAAAAGTAAAAGAATATTTTTTGCAGTATCTGAATGTGACTAACACATCTAGACAATGACTGTATGAAGAGTTACGAAATGTATTAAAAGCTCGTGATCTTGATATTGGTGATGTGAGAGGGAAAGGATATGATAATGGATCAAATATGAGAGGGAAACACCAAGGTGTGCAGAAGAGGCTTTTGGATATAAATCCTAGGGCAATGTGTACTCTATGTAGTTTCCATAATCTCAGCTTAACACTTTGTGATACGGCAAACGCTTGTGGCAAAGCTAAAGACTTTTTTGAAACAGTACAATGTATTTACAGCTTGTTCGCTAATTCTACAAAATGATGGCAGATTCTGAAAGAAAATATAAAATGAATAACTCTCAAATCATTATCGGTCACACGATGGAAAAGCCATGTTGCAAGTGTTAAAGCAATTCAATTCAATCTTGTACAAATAAAAAAAGTTTTACTCCAACTAGCAGAAAGTGACAATGACTTAGTAACAAAAAGTGCATCTAAATCTTTGGCAGCATATGAGATTGGGAATTTTGAGTTTTTATTGGGCACGACTATTTGGTACAAAATATTGGTTGCTGTTAATGAGGTTAGAAAAGACTTGCAATCTAAATGATGTTGCTATAGAACAAGTACAATGATTGATTGCTTATTTTGAAAAGTACAGAGAAACTAGGTTTGCGAAGGCCATGATTAATGCCAAAAAACTTATTATTGAAATGAAAATTGATTCTGTGTTTTCGAAAAAGCGACAAGTTCGTAGAAAAAGACATTTTGATGAAAGTGATGACAAATCATCCCAATCAATTGAATGATCAACAGATGAATCTTTTGTTGGAGCAATATTAGAAAATATGAAAAATAACAATATAATTCAAATGATAATAATCATAAAGAAAATCACAACATCAATAGTATACAAGATTAATATAACCAACTAGAGAGAAAGTTGGAAAACTTAACAAACTTGGAGATTGAGGCTTACATAAATATAATGTCCTAAGGACAGAATTTCACCCCTACTCTTGTGCATGTAGTTTGGTAGGTGTCCGTCTCCCATGATTCAACAATCTATAATCCGAAATCGAAGCACTTCAATCTCGGACTCTAGCAAACTTTATATATTTTGTACTTTCAAGACACGACTTGCAATTTGACAAACGAAGAATGAGAGAAAGAGTGGGGAAACCCTATTTCTCAAGAGTAAAAATTAACTATAATTTTTTATATTAATGATGATGATTTCATGAGTTTATATAGCACCCAAGTACTTCTTGTTAAAGAGATGTAACTTTTCATCTTTAAGTATACATCATTTGACAAGGGAATGCACTTAAATAACATAACCTTTCTAAGAAATATGGTTAACACTATTTTTCACTCAATTATTAAAATTATATATTACAATATTTTATATTATAATATATAATTTCCAACAGTCTCCCACATGAATGAAAAATCAGGAAGAATTTGAGAGTACAAGCTGACAAGAGATGCATCGGGAGATGTATCTTTTAGACTTGAACCTACCCTAGTGAATACTTATCGGATTTACTTGGTGACGCAGTGGATGTGCAAAATAGTGTAACCATATTTCTTAGAAATGTTATGTTACTTAGGTGCATTCCCTTGTCAAATGTTGTAGACTTATAGATGAAAAGTTACATCTCTTTTACAAGAAGTACTTGGGTGCTATATAAACTCATGAAACCATCATGATTAATATACAAAATTAGAGTTAATTTTTACTCTTGGGAAATAGGGTTTCCCCACTCTATTTATCTCATTCTTCGTTTGTCGAATTCTGAGTCGTATTTTGAGAGTACAAAATATATACAGTTCGCTAAAGTCCGAAGATTGAAGTGCTTTGACTTCGGATTATAGATTATTAAATCCTGGGAGACGAACACCTACCAAACTACAAGAACAAGAATAGGGGTGAAATTCTGTTTTTAGGACATTGCATTTATGCAAGCCTCAATCTCCAAGTTTGTAAGTTTTTCTAACTTTTCTCTCTGGTTGTTTATATTAATCTTGTATACTATTGATT